GGCGGTGGTTGTGGCGGACAATCGCTGTCATCGTTGTAGTGATGACTGAAACTCATTTGACGGATAGGAATGTTTGGGAAGTGAGCCATCGATGGGTCAGTCATTTGTTTGGACGGATTGGTCACAGGAATGGCACTCATTTGATGTCTGGGGTGATGTCTCGTGCGGTTGTTGTCGACTAACGGCAAACCAATGGGCGGTTCCGTCACCACCGGAAGGCCGACACTATTGAGTGAATCCATTCTCTCCACTCTTCGCTCAGTCCTCACTTGAGGTATGTTTTCCGACAACTGGTCCCTGAATTCTGGTCTCAAAACTAAATACTTTTGATTCTGAAGAATACGGCCACAGATTAGAGACAAATGAATGTCAAGTGAATGGCGTGAATACCTGTTGAGTGCAAACTGTGGCCAAACGGTTGACATAGTCTTTGAAGGCATTCCTGGCCTCGTCTGATGGACACCGAGAAGACAATTAAGACATAGATATGATTGGATGACTCAACCAATGAATGGCCACATAATGACATACTTTGCGTGCTTTGGTCCGAGAGGTGATGTCTGAAGGCCTTAACCAACTCGTGGTACTCAACAATACCTCCGTTTGTCAACAGATAATACTTGATGTCATGTAAAGTGAATCCCAAGACACCACTCATTTTGCGATTATATTTGATTCAATAGTATTTGAATTACAAAAACATTGAAATTATTAAATGATTTATAAATTGTATGAAAATGACATAAAAATGGTATGAAATCTAAAACACAATATGAACTCAAATGTAATGGAAATGTATTTCTCATAAATAGCTGCAAATGTGAACACAAAACACAAATAAATGATTAAAAAATAATTGTTTATAAAAATAATACAAAACTCAAAACAAAAGTTAACTTTTGGGGCAAAAGTTGTAATCGTATGAGAGGTTAGGTTTGAGTCATTTGTCAGGTTTGTGTGCAAAACGGCAAACAGTGGGCGCTCTCAGCCTTACAACCAGTCAAACGGTTTTGCATTGAAAACCAAATTCTTGTATTGAATACAAAATTCATGAGTTTTTTGGGATACGCTATGATATGGAAAACAGATTTGTCATTAAAATTCAGTTTGAATACCTGTTTGAGTGGATAACTAGCAAACAGTATACACTGTTTTTGTTCACATTGGCAAAACATTTATAAAATATAAATCAAACACAACTGAATAGAGAATTTCTGTGATAAAAATTAAAATTTATTATTTTATTATGAAATTAATGCGAAAATGATTACATTATTTGAACGCAAAAAACATGTCAAACTTTGCATTGAATTAGAAATAAAAATGCTTATTATATTATATTATATTATCGCTTATACTTAAGTAGAGAAGATTTTTTGAGATAAAATATTTTATCGATTATTTATATATTGTTATATAATTTTTTGGTGTATATTTAATATATAGATATATAGTATTTATTGTTTGTTTGGTGTATACATAGAATCTATATTTGGATGCAAACCTAATATCCCGTCAATTAGTACTTAAGTATAATTCTTGTCAATCGAGTTATACACTGGTGTTTGTATGGCTTAGGATTAGATATGACTCGTTATATGAGAGATAATGGTTTACATTTAGTTTGAAATACATCTGTTTTGTAGATATTATTGAAAATATATATTCAGACAAAGTATCGACACATTTATATATCGATTGATTGGACGAATCGATTCCATTGACAAATAATTGATTTCATAAATATTTAAATTCATTACTTCTCCACAAAACGTTTATCGACTTTATGTCAGACACCGGCGACTGACATGTGTTTTGTTAATACAATATGTTTTCTAATCTCAGACAAAATATTTGACTTATTCTTTAAATACAATTCTCTAAAATTAGTTCATTAAGTGATTCTTTGGGTAAAATGTTATATCAAATCATAGGATATTTGAATGCATGGAATCATTTGTGTAAATAACTCAACAATAGATCTAAAATATATTTCAATAATTTGTTTGCATTTAAATGTAATCTAAATATCATATTATTTGGAAGTTTGTCACAAAAAACATACTTTAATTATGAGACACATTGGACTAGAAGCTATCAAAACATTATTGTGAATAATGTGACCAAAAAATATAGTGACAATTAATTCACTCAAATATTTACAAAAACAAATAAAAATAAACTCAAATAAAAAACAAATAAATCAACAAAAATATAAAAACCAAAGCAATGAGTGAGCAATCAATGAGTTAAAATTATTTGTATGAATTATCACATTATGTGCTCTTATTATACCATTAAATGGTTTGGTATTAAATTAAACACATAATGACATCATTTGGTTGGGAATTATGCTGAGTGAGTATAGAATGAGTGAATACTAGTAAAAGAGATATAAGAAGTGATAAACAAATGTAAAAAACGAGAGAAAAACAAACGGAATGCAAATTAGGTGTAAATAATAATAAATCTAAAACTAAACACAATTTATAAGATGATATAATAGAGTGAGAAAATAAAGGGAATAATTAGAGTAATAGAGCTGACAATGAGATGATGGGAGTGATTGCAGCCATCTTTGCCATTACAGGAGCAGTACTGGATCAACACCGAGAAAGTACCGGCCCTTTTGACACACTCGTTGGCTAAGTGCTCGTTGGGCTTAATCTCTTTGCCCGCGTCGTCCAAATAGCCGCACCCGCGGATCGTCCGGTACTCGTCGTTCACTGTATTATCATTGCAATCATAGTTAGCACACAATTGGAGTTCACTTTGAATGGCAAACCTTTTTGAACAATTTTGCGGCAAATAGTACCCGGCTGGTTGGGGTAGCGTGGTAGGAATTTCTGGGTACAGTCCGCCATCGCGAAGTCATCCTCTTTGAACGGGTCGTTACACCCGTTGTTAATCAAGGAATTACAGTCCCAACAGCTCAGGCCATACACTTCAATGCAAATATTAGTTTAGTTTTCAATTCAAAACATTTCTTTAATATATAAACATTTTTTCAATCGTTTATATTTACTATGAGATCAAAGAATTTTATACACAAACTATTCACTAATTGTCTGTAATTCAATCATTCAATCACTACATATTGTACTCTTTTATATGACTATTAATATAACTTCATATAATAATAGAGATTTAAATATGAGTACAATATTCACTACAGTGTAAGAAAATTGCACGAATTGCCCTTAAGATTGACGACAATTTAATCCTAACAAAAACTAATTTAAATGAAATATGAGTGAATATTTCCTCAATTAGTCAAAGTTATATTCAATAATTAAATTTAGTTTTTCGTGGTTTAAACCTATACTAACCGATAGATAAGAAATATGAAAATATAATTCATTTTCAAAGTATTGCAAAACGGTTTAAAATAACAAAAAATGCAAACTTTTAATGAAAATCATGAACTGAATATAAAGTTGTCAAATAAATTAATGTATCAAATGATAGATCTTTGAGTTTATATTTACTGTGACCAATCCGTCCAAACAAATGACTGACCCATCGATGGCTCACTTCCCAAACATTCCTATCCGTCAAATGAGTTTCAGTCATCACTACAACGATGACAGCGATTGTCCGCCACAACCACCGCCCCGAAGACGTAACAGTGCTGTCGGACACAAGAATAAGACACCACTCGAGCGATTCAAACACTTTGATGACGATATGAATGGCGATAAGGTTTCACTTGATATCACATTTCATATAATCTTACGATTAATTCAATTTGAATACTTGTTTGTTGTTTGAATTTAAATCAAAAACCTCTTTATATACCACTAATTGAATCCATTTTAGTGAAAGCTTTAAAACTTATAAAAAGTGATAGTGTTTTAAGTTTTGCACTTTACTCTTGATTTTAAATATGCATAGACACACAGTAGGAAGCAAATGGTCCTGAATATAATATAATACAGTGAATGAGAGCAATGGGACACTTGTTAATTGAAAGGACAGTCTATCGGCGACACACTGTTAGGCCGACTGAAGGTCTAACTGAGTTAGGGTTGAGTTGATGTGCTGTACTGTTAGTCAGTGTTCACTCATGTGTTGAGACAATCAAAAACATCTGCTATTAAGCTATTAAACCATTAACTATTAAACAACTGTTTTTTTAATTGAATTGAATTTTCATTTCAAACAATAATTGAGAACTCAATTGAATGGGACTTTAAGTGGAAATCTCCACCCATTCAGTGCTATTGTATCTATTTATGAGTTTTGAATGAAATCATAGTCGCAAACGATCTCTATTTCCATAATTTGTCTCATTGTATATAAAACTGATTTCCTTTCCGTTATTATTGTTTTAATATAATCATCGCTCGAAACGTGTTTCGCAATTATTTGCAATTTCCTTACGCTCTTTGATATCTCCATTTGAATCAGTTCTCTGACGACAATCAAAAGGAGGGTCCGTCTCATCAAATCTCGAAACTAAAGGAGATCCATGAGTTGTCGATCCAAACCCCCGGTCGTGTCAAAGAACGCGCACAAAAGATCGATAAAATGGCATCTCTTACCGAACTGAAGCCCCCGATGCCCTCAACAGCACCGGCCGCCACTCTCGGCAACAGCACACGACCCAAG